CGGACCGGGACCGGCAACGGGATTGCAACCCTTGGTGTCGCGCCCGCACCTCGCTCAGCCAATGAGTGGGAACCGGTCCATATGTGGGATCCGAACCCTCGGCGGGAGCGCCCCCTCGCTCCCAAGCGGTGCACTGTAGCAGTGCGCCACCGGGCCGGCCCCTCAGCATACCTTTTTGGCAAGCCTCCACCACTGAATTTCACCAATAGGAAGAGACTGGTAAGGCTTAAGTCTTGGCTTAAGTCTTCTGGATTTTCCAATATAATAAGACAAGAGGGCCATACTATTTTAATAGAATTATTTTAAATATAATTACATTTAATCACTAATGAAAAAAAGGTCTTTTTGTAAGTGAAAGAGAAAATAAAACTCTAATCCCTTAGCGGGAAAAAGAGAGCCAAATGAATGATGTTAAGAGCATTTATTCAACCTATTTGGAACTTTAAGGTACCAAGACAAATGGAACAGCATGAATTTTGTTTTGTTTTACTTTCTTTTAAGTCATCATCAATAAGTTTGGAACTAAATTTCTGTTGGGCCAAAACTGATCAACTAGAAATACATAATACAGAGTTAGTAAATTTGCCTATTGAAGGAAGCGACAGCCTTCAAAAGGAAAGGCAAACAGGCTGGTGCAAGGACCATCAACACTGCAGTGGACTCTTAGCAGGATAGGCTTTGTGTATGCTGGGAGAGCCCACACTTCAGACTGGACACACACAACTCCAGACCACACAACCAAAATTTGAATTCAAGGCCATGGCCAAGGTCATGGGCTCTGAGTCAGACAAACTTGGGCTCAAGGTCTTGCTTTCACACTAAGCTGTGGCAAGGGACTTAATTCCTTTTAGTTTCCTCATCTATAATTTGGACGTAATAATATTACCTACCTTATAGGGATTATGTAAGGTTTAAAAAAGATAATGCATGTAAGTCTTCAGCCCAGTGCTAACATATGCAATAATAATGATAGCAACAGTAATAATACCACCTTGACAAACCTGGCTTCTAAATGAAGACCGTCCTAATCAGTGTATTCTAGCTCGTAATCTATTCACAAAATGCTGAATGCTCAGCGTTATGTTCATATCCAGGTACAGCTTCTATAAGGTGACAGCTCTCCAAATCAACCAGTAATTTTTCTAATGAATTCAGGGAGAAGGGTGTTGAAAATTCAGCCTTTTTCTAGGAGAGAGTTGGGAAGGATTTGGTGCTTTGCCCATGATTCATCCCTCTGAAAGTCTTGCTGGTGAAAGCCATGATTCCATCACCATCCACACCCCTTCCCCCACAAAATCGTGAAAGTCTTTTATTAAAGCATAGAAGCAAACCAACAAGATGGCTCACATTAGCAAAAGGTAAACTCTTCTACCCTCCAGAAAGAATATGGCTTGACCCCACTGCCAACTCCAAACTGACATCCCACAAGAGAGAAGACAGCCCTCACTCCCAGAAGTTGAATTACAGCATCAAAACTAAAAAGAATCCCTTCTATTCGTGCTAATCCTAATAAAGCACACTTGCCTGCTTCAAAAATGTCTTATAAATCCATCCAATAGAGCCAAGAGCCAAGCACTGTATACTGAAATAACGTGACTTTACAAGGACAAGAGTGACCATAGGAGACAAAGTGCCACACCCTTTTCCCAGATAGCTCAACAGTAAATGGTGTCTCTTGTAAAGAAGACTGCAATTTGGGAGAAATGCGTGGACAATTCTAACATTCCAACGCTCCCCACCATTTCATTCTTTACACAGATCATTTCATTTTCATTTTTAAGCCAATGGCCTCAGCAACCCCAACTATTACAACTAAAAAACGAGGGGTGGAGGGGATGGGGGAGAGGGTAAGGGGTTAGGACAAGGAAACCCAGGTCAAACATACTTGCTTCTAAGCCCATTTTCGAAGAGTTTTCTTCCCGCTTGTCTGTCTCTCACAGCTGGAGCCCGATACCTGGTGGAAACCAATGGTTAAGTAAAACCACTGATTTAAAGAGCCAACCAGGAAACTAACCATGACAAGTGGGAGCTGCCCTCCTCTTCCGAGCATTGATTGGCTCTTGGGGTTCCACCGGGCCCCGCTCTACCCACGTAAGTGGCAGGTGTGGCTGTCAATCACAGAGGGAACTGACAATTCACCGCTCGGGGAGTAAATTGCCTTTCATCCAGCAAAGGCAGGTAGCAGCCTAAAATCGATCCTTTCCTAACAGAGCGGATCCTCCCTCTCTGGCAAGGAGAAAAGAGACCCTTAAGTACAAAAAAATAAGGCAGGGCCGAACGGAGAGTTTATGAGCGCTATTTTATTATCCCGCACCAAAGCAGCCCTTAATCTTCACTGTCCTAAGATGATCTTTCAAAGGCTCGTACAGTAATTTTAAATATATATATATATATAGATACAGCCTCTAAGTACCCCTTTTCTTGTATAATTAGAAAATGAAAAGGGGCAGGGAAGGAAAGCCCAGCTAAATTCACATCGTAATTCTTTTCATACACCACCACCCCCTACCCGCCCCGATAAATCCGGCTTCATTATCCCTGACACGGATTTTTTTAAAAAAACACGCTCCCCTTAGATCCCACCCAGGCAGCCCGGCACCCCACCCCCTGGGCTGGGGCTCCACCTTTCTCCACTTTGTTCTGCTTGGGTTTCCTCGAGACCCTCGCCCCCGCGAACACCTCTCCCCTTCGAGGCAAGAGGGGAATCTGGACAGAAGAGAGGCGATGGCAGCGAGGGTGGCTGCGGGAGAGGGACTGCGGGAGGTGGCCCGGGCCGCCGGGGCGAGCTAGAAGCGCCCGCGCGCCCGAGGGAACCGTGCACTTGTTCCAATCCGGGGGTTTATACATCAAGGCAAATCCGCCCTTAGGCCGCCTCATCCCTTCCCCCGCCTGAGAAAGCCCGGGAGGAGGCGGATGGTTCACCCCTCAGCTCTCCCCGGTAACGCATTGCAGCTCCCCACGAGCTAGGGGGACCCGACACGAGGGACACCCGGGCACGAGCGCCCCGAGGGAGGCGGGCACCCGGCAGCCCCGGCCCCGGCGTCGGCGTCTCACCTTTCCGATGCTCGCCCCGGGGCCGTCCCACATGGATTTTTACAACCTCACGTCGCCTCGGCCCCGGGCGGCCGGGAGGAGCCGGAGCCGGAGCCGGAGCGCGAGCGAGCAGGAGCGGGAGGAGGAGCTGGAGCGGGGCGGGCAGCGGGGAGGG